GGAGGAGCCGGGAGAAGGGGCGGAGGAGGGGGGGGGGAGGGAAGGAGTGGGGCCAAAGTCTCTGGATCTCTCATGTCAGTCCTGCCAGGGATCTGCCCGCTATCCGATAGATCGGTCCGCGACTGGGGCAACGGGCACCGGCCGGCGCTCGGCAGTCCGGTGTGGCCGGGGCTGCGCGTGGAGGCGACGAGCAGGCCCGGACCGGCGGGCCTGCCCCCGGGCCACCATGGACAGAAGGCCGCCCATGCCTCGGCTGCTGGCTGTCCGGGTTTATTTCCGCCGCTCCTGCCAGGCTGCGGCTCGCGCGCGTGCGCGCGCAGAACGATCCAGCGCACGGGCGTCCTCGTCTCGCCGCCCCGCCCTCCCGGGCCCGAGACGAGGCAGCAGCTCTCCTCCTTGCGGCTGCCTTGCATGGCGAGCCCTTCGCGCGCGCCTGCGCGCGCGGCATCTCCATGCCGCTGGCACCAGGCCGGGAGCGGGGACGATGCCCCGGCCTGCGGCCAGGCCCCGGGGGTGGGTGTTTGTAACCGCGCACGCGACACCACCTGCCCGAGGTGCGGCCAGGCCCATGAGTGGCATCGGGTGGGTGCCCATCGTGCCGGGGGTGTGGATTTGGCCCACGCGTCGGCGCTCGAACGCGCCGCGGTCAAAATCCCATCACACCACGGGGGTGTTTTCTGCCGGATCGCTGTGACGTTCAAAACAAGGCCGCGCGAGTGCACCAAAAAAGGGGGGGGGGCTGCGAGCGCGCGCGCGCGCGCGCTCGTGCCGGCAACTGTTCGGCTGGCGCCCGAATGGCCGGCCCCGGGCCATGCTCTGCACCGATTATCGATCGGTTTTCCCACCGCGCGGGTCCTGCCTCGGCGACCTTTCCCTCGCTCGCTGGCTCGCTCGCCCCTGCGTCCCGCTTCGGCTCCCGTCCGGGCTCCGGGCCCCGACGCTGCCCCGGGCCCCCGAGGGGCAGGACGCCCCGCCGCCCGAGGAGACCTTCCCCGCCACCCCCAGGGGCTGGGGCAGGTGAGGGGAAGGGGGGGGGGGGGGGGCGGGGGCGCGCACTCGGCCGCCAGACCGCTCGACGCCGAGCGGCCACCACTTTGTGTACAGGGAGGTACACGCGCCTGTGCGGGGGCCGGCCCCGGCCCGGGGTGTTTTGTCGGCAATTTCGAAAGAAGGCGCTGCCGTATCGGCCGGGCCAGCAGGCAGACAGCCTGGCCGGCACTGACTGGCTCGGGGGGAAGACCCGAGGCCTCGGGTCGCCGGGGCTGGGCACGATCGATCGCGGCCCGGCCCTCGCGCCGGGTCCCACCCCCGCCCGCCGGCTGGCGGCGCTCCGCAGATTAATATCCCCCCGCCGGCCCCCCCCCCCTCCTCCCTGGACCTGGTGTGGGCGCCCTGTCCCCCGGGCGGGAAGCCCCGGCCTGGACCCTGAGCCTGGCTGGAACGGGCTCTACGTGCCTGCCGGCTCTCTCTCCCCCTCCCCCCTCCGCTCCATTCGCCCATGTGCCAGGGCCCCCTGCCTCGGGTGCGGCGCCGGCCTCTTTGGGCCCGGCGGGGTATCCGGGCACCGGATGGGCCACGCATCGCCCGGATGCACAGGAGTTGGAAGGCACCGCGTCTTGGGCATTAATTTGGTGCTGCTGGTGTTCGCGGGCTTGACCGCCCTCCCAGGCCTGGGCACGGCCCCGACCGAAAGGGCTCCCTTGCGCCGCCGGCTGGGGCCACTGGCGCGCGACACACAGACGCCACCGCCGGCACACGCCCTCGGCATCTGTCAGCAACACCCGGCCCGGCGGCAGGCTGTTCTGCAGTCGGGTAGGGCGCGAGCAGGGCGGAGCGTGACTTGCCCCGGCGACCCCCCGCCCCCCCGCCCCTTGCCCCTCTCGAGAGTGGCAAGGGCAGCCCCCAGCCGCCGGGTGGCCGCCGGAATTCATATTAACGCGTCCCTCGGCCCGAGGCATGCACAAGTAGCCGAGGCCCAGGGGTCGCGCCGCGAAGGCCCAGCAGCCGGCCCTACCCCACAGTCCGCTGTCTGGTCGGCTAGCCGCTCGGCCGGCTGATTGATGTATATACTCACACACAACACGCATGGATATATTTCTGTGCCCCATGCCTATATGCACACGCACACACACACACACACACACACACACACAATGGTCATATACCAATGCCGGGGAGCACCCGCGCGGTCTTTTCCGCCGGCCGCTGTTGCTGCCACTGACGCGGCAAGCCGTCGGTCGATGTAGCTTCCTCGCAGGAACAAAGATCTCGAGGCCGCGCCCTCGCCTGCCTTCCTCCCAAACCCTGTGCATCGCCACCGGCCGCCGTGCTCCAAGCCAGGGGGGGGGGGCGGTCAGGCGGACCGGAGCTGGGGGACATTCGGCCGAGGGACGCACACCGCGGAGCGAGGGAAACGTACGCGTCCGCTCACCCGGACGCCGGTTCTAGGCGCGCGCGACCGGAGGACGGGGGGCAGGCCGGTCCCGAGCACGGGTCCGCGCGGCGCCCCACATGCAACTTCCCTGCATAGGGCCGTTCGAGCCGAGATTAGCTGCCGGGTTTAAATTGGACCCCTGTTGAGGAGCCGCTGCTGGTCTCCCTCCCCGCCCGCCCCTCCCCCCCCCATACCCCCCGGGACACGGGGGGCGCCGGCCGAGCCGCGGACAAGTTGAGCGGCGAGGTGGATGGCGCGCGGAGCAGTGGGCAAGGCCCGGGGCCAGTGAGTGTCCCCGCGGAGACATGCTCCCGCGACCGGGCGGGGAGGGGGGGGGGGGGGGGGGGAGGGGCAGCACGCGCAGGTGCCGGCCCGCCCGAGGGGGGCGCGGATGCGCCCATCCAGGCCGCCGGTGCTATGGGCCCAGTCGCTGGCCGGCGCATGGGACATGGGTGCCGGCCCGAGCCCGGCGCCGAGGAGGGCCGGCACGCGGCGCGGGCCCCGCCGCCAGCAGGGGCCGGGGGTGTTGCCCCCCCCCGCCCCCCCCATGGCAATCGACCGGGGTGCATTGTCATCGACGTGGCGCGGCCGGCAGCGAGTGCGCGCTCGCTGGCGCTCGCGCCCGCACGCGGCAGGGGACTGCAAGCGGACACGGGCGCGCCCTTACCCCCGTGCAACTTCCCCCGGCAGGCGTCCTGTGTGAGGGGGCTCCAGGGCGCGCCAGGGCCGGCCGGCCAAATCACCACGCGAGAGCAGGCCCGGGGGCGTTATCGTGCCTGCCCTCGTGCGTGCCCTTGCCCTGGGCCCTGCTGCCGGTCCCGAGCGGCCCGTCGCCCCCGGGCGCCAGAGAGTCCCACTGGGTGCCTGTGCCGGCACGCGGGGTGAAGCATGCTGCCAGGAGCATCATGGTGTTTGTGCATGTTTGAGTGTGTCGTGGTGGTGGGGGTTGGGGGAGGGCAGGCGCGTGGGCCGTTCGGCCAAGGACGGCATCTATGGGCATGAGCAATGGTCCCACACACACACACACACACACACACACAAACGTACATATACATGCACACACATGCACACAGGAGTTGGTGGGGAGAAGTTAAAGACACCATGTCGGGTGGAGGGGGGGTATGGGGGATGAACCGCACCGCGCGGCGGCCCCTTGCTCGTGACAGGCACGCATGTGCACCTTCACACGGCATGGCTGGCCAGGTGCATACGCTCGTCCGCGAGACGGAGAAGGGACTG